CGGCCGGAGGATCCTCCTGACGGGGGCTCTGATTTTCATCGCCCCGCACACGGTGGCCCAGGCGGCCATCGCCTGCATGTTCGCCTTCGCGAGCCTGCTAGGCTTCGAGCTGTTGAGACCCCACCTGGATCCCGCGGACTCATGGCTCTACCGCCTGGTGAGAGAGAGAGAGAAAGAAACAGACAGACAGACAGACACAGAGGGAGGGAGGGAGGGAGGGAGAGAGAGAGAGAGAGGCAGAGAGAGAAACTTTTGACCATGTCCTGCAAAAGGCTGTAGCGCTTCGGCGGGTAGTAGGCCGTCCAATGCCCGTTGCGTTCATGGAGTTGAGCTTGAGTGCCTGCCGTGCGTATTCGGGTTTGGCAGCAGGCTGTAGGCGCGACAACAAGGGGTGTTTTCGAGTCGTCATCTTCAAGGAACGTAGAAGAAATTCGATTGCCGTACGCGACGATTGCCGTACGTGACAACACCAGTATTTAAGTATTTTCGGGAGCGTCAAGGAAGTTGGAAGACATTAGATTGTCCATTTTTCTTCTGTACAGGCACGGGAAGAAGTGCTGAACTCTTCTCGCATTAAAAATCGAAGGCAACGTACCGCAGGAGGGAAGAATATAGAAGGGCCCTTCTGTGTGACCACGGGTTGGAGTAAAAGGCACTCGTGCTGTGAGCGCTGATTTGAAGTGAAGACAAAAAAAAAAAGAAGGCCGTACTGTACCGCTTCAGTTTTGGATGTTCCAGTATATCTGGAACCGAGGAATGTGTGTGAGCTTTTAGCCATAAGAAGTAATCAGTCGATATTAGACGTCCTCGCCAAAGCCAAAAATCTGTTTATACTTCAATGACGGGTTAAGCGCCTCCTTATGGAGAACGGGGAGAAACTTTTTCCAAGAATAATTTTCGCGGATTGCAGCGCCGTTCTTCCTATCTCTGCTGTGAAAGAATGTTGCTTTGCATCACCCACGGGGCTCTGAAAGGCCTCGTGTAGTGAACGATACCACCGCGTTCGTTCGCGAAGTCTTGACCTCGCTCGCTTCTCGCGGGAGGGATCTCATCTATTACCGATCGTACGACGTGTTTGCGACCTAACAAGAGAAGGGAAAAAGCAAGCCCCCAGCTTCCGCGACGTGACGTGACGACTGCCCACGTGTGGCTTGAACGCACATCGCATTTGACTTGCCTCGACTCGACTCGACTTGAATCGACTTGCGAGACCACCCACTTGTTGCTTGAACACACCCCGCGAACTTGACTTCCCCTTCACCTGTTGCTTGAGCGCACATTGCGACTTGGTTTGACGTTCCTCGAATGAACACGACGTGACCGCTCACCTGTTGCTCTAACGCACGCCGCGACCGCTTGTTTGTACTCGACGGCAGGGTTGCGTGACGATCTTCCTGTCCAACTTCCTGGCGCTCCTGATGAAGGTCGACGCCGCCGGAGAGAGCAACCGGTCCATCCTCGGTGGCATCCTCATAGCGGTCAACGTCCTGCTCGTGGTCGCGGTGCTCGCCTCCACCTGGTTCGCCACGCAGCAGACGGTGGACGACAACCGGGAGGGCGAGAACGCTTTCGCGGTGGCGAAGGCCATGCTCACGCACGAACAGGTGGTCGCCCGGAGCAAGCGCCTCGAGAGGGAGGAGAGCGCGCAGCGGGATACCGGCCGGCGAGATGCCCGCGTTGGGGGAAACAGCGGCGGTATTGGGGCAGGCCGCTTGGGCGGGGGCAGCATCGGAATCGGCGGAGGAGGAGGAGGAGGAGGAGGCGCCGGCCGCGTGGGCGGTGGCAGCGGCGGCGTAGCGGCATCCTTGTGGTCCGGCGTTCCGCGTCCAGGCGCGAGGTCGCAGGGAAGCAGCGGTCGGAAGCTGTTTTCGGGGCGGACGGGGAACGTCAGCGCCGCCCGGGTGGAGGAGCTCTGGGAGGAGGACAAGGCCATGGAGCGTGGATCCAATGACGGCGGTGGTGCCCGAAGAGTGTAGCGGGATACGGGCGGCTGCACAGGACGTCGATCCAGCGATGTGGTGGGGCTCGTTGGGCAGCGGGATTCACACGGCCACGGAGACCGAGTCAGAGGGTTACGTTTTGAGGCCTGCATGATGGGGTTACACTTGGTGGGTGGCCGCTCGGGCCCGGAAATAGACAAAAGAGGGAGGGGGGCGGGGGGGGGGGGGGCGGGGGCCCCCTCTG